GGCTGAGGCAGGCTGAGGCTGAGGCTGAGGCAGGCTGAGGCTGAGGCAGGCTGAGGCTGAGGCGGAGGCTGATGCAGGCTGAGGCTGAGGCAGGCTGAGGCTGAGGCCGAGGCTGAAGGCAGACTGAGGCTGAGGCTGAAGCAGACTGAGGCTGAGGCTGAGGCAGGCTGAGGCTGAGGCTGAATCAGGCTGATGCTGAGGCAGGCTGAGGCTGAGGCTGAGGCTGATGCAGGCTGAGGCTGAGGCAGGCTGAGGCTGAGGCCGAGGCTGAAGGCAGACTGAGGCCGAGGCTGAAGCAGGCTGAGGCTGAGGCTGAAGCAGGCTGAGGCTGAGGCTGAGGCAGGCTGAGGCTGAGGCTGAGGCACGCTGTTGCTGAGGCAGGCTGAGGCTGAGGCTGAGGCTGATGCAGGCTGAGGCTGAGGCAGGCTGAGGCTGATGCCGAGGCTGAAGGCAGACTGAGGCTGAGGCTGAAGCAGGCTGAGCTGAGGCTGAGGCAGGCTGAGGCTGAGGCTGAGGCAGGCTGATGCTGAGGCAGGCTGAGGCTGAGGCTGAGGCTGATGCAGGCTGAGGCTGAGGCAGGCTGAGGCTGAGGCCGAGGCTGGAGGCAGACTGAGGCTGAGGCTGAAGCAGGCTGAGGCTGAGGCTGAGGCAGGCTGAGGCTGAGGCTGAGGCTGAGGCTGAGGCAGGCTGATGCTGAGGCAGGCTGAGGCTGAGGCTCAGGCTGATGCAGGCTGAGGCTTAGGCAGGCTGAGGCTGAGGCCGAGGCTGAAGGCAGACTGAGGCTGAGGCTGAAGCAGGCTGAGGCTGAGGCTGAGGCAGGCTGAGGCTGAGGCTGAGGCTGAGGCTGAGGCAGGCTGAGGCTGAGGCCGAGGCTGAAGGCAGACTGAGGCTGAGGCTGAAACAGGCTGAGGCTGAGGCTGAGGCAGGCTGAGGCTGAGGCGAGGCTGATGCTGAGGCAGGCTGAGGCTGAGGCTGAGGCTGACAGGCTGAGGACAGGCTGAGGCTGAGGCCGAGGCTGAAGGCAGACTGAGGCTGAGGCTGAAGAAGGCTGAGGCTGAGGCTGAGGCGAGGCTGAGGCTGAGGCTGAGTCTGAGGCTGAGGCAGGCTGAGGCTGAGGCTGTGACTGCGACTGCCGTTGCCACTGCGACTGTCATCGCGAATGCGACTACGACTGCGAGAACAGCAGAATTCTACAACTGGATTCTCATCTGAATCTTAAGGGGAATGCTTCCAAATACGCTCCTACACATCGCTGTTAGGTTGCTTTGCCGGGATTTTTTTTTCACCACGCGACCCCCAGAGGTCCGGACCCATTCCCTGGGACCGGTTTTTCACCCCGAGTCGTTTTTTGACGGTCCCGAGGCTCGGTCAGGGCCCCCGGAGGCCAAAAATAACGGACCCCCCCCCCGTCGTGATTTTTCCATGTCTGCGATCGCCTGAACGACAGGCGACGTCGCTCCCCTGATTCGTATGCGCCTGCCGTCGCCCGCCACACGGCGCGCATCCCCCCGGGCGCACGCACGCACGCACCCCGCACGGCCGCGCGGCGCACGCACCCCGCACGGGTGTCCCCCCCGAGCGGCCCGCCCGGGGGGCGCACCCACTGCGCGGGGGCCCGTCGGCGCCCTGCAGCCGGCCCGCAGCAGGAGGAGGCGCGATAGCCAACGTTTTCTCATTCGGCGTTTGGACATTGGCCTCCTCCTCCCTCCTCCTCCTCCTCCTCCTCCTCCTCCTCCTCCTCCTCCGCCTCCGCCTCCGCCTCCTCTTCCTCTTCCTCCTCCTCCTCCCCTCCTCCTTCTCCAGCGCCTCCCCCGCGTCCTCGTCCTCCTCCGCTTTGTGAACGTTTCCTTCTTCGGCGTTTCGGCATTGGGCGGAAGATGGGGGGGTTTGGCCCCGGACCTCTGCTTAGTGCGACTGTTTGCAGCAGCGCATCCGATGGGGGAGGCTCCACCTGCTCGAGACAGGCGCCAAAAACAGCCAAGATCTACTCCATGGGGGGGGGGAAAGGGGCCCGCGCCGATCGGCAAAACAATGAATTCGCCAGCCCAACGGGCCAAGGGCGTGCTAAGATCTCCGGTAACTGGTTAACAATATTCTAGTTCGCGCGCGCGGGGCCGGCCCTCCGTGTCCACGGACGAAAAGTACCCCGGGACACCCCCGGGACACCCCCGGGACACCCCCCGGACATCCCCGGGACACCCCCGGGACACCCCCAGGACACCCCCGGGACACTCGGATCAGAGATGCCCGATCGGGCAATTTTTCGACACCCCTCACGAGGATCGTGGCCTCCGAGGGGAGGGGCGCAATCGACTACCCCCCCTCCTGACCCAAGAGGTCCCCAAGACTGCCCAAGAGGCCCCCGAGACGCCCAAAGAGCGCTCCAAGACGCCGATGATGACCCCAAGACGACCCAAGAGGCCTCCAAGTGGCCTCCAAGAGACCTCACAAGAGGGCCCGAGAGGCCACAATCATCAATTTGACGATGGTTTTTGAAGGATTTTGGCCTTGTCGCCTTTTCGGCCATCCGATGCTCCAAGACGGCCCAAGAGGCCCCCAAGAGCGCCCCAAGACGGGCCAAGAGGCTTCCAAGAGGGCCCCAAGAGGGCCCCGAGACGGCCCAAGAGGCGCCCAAGACAGCCCAAGAGGGGCCCAAGAGGGGGACCACGAACCGAAAACTCGAGCCTTCCGCCCCAAGAGGGCCCCAGGAGGCCCCGAGAGGCCAGGCCCCCAAGAGGCCCCAAGATGGCCCCAAGGGGCCCCCAAGAGGCCCCATGAGGCCACCAGGAGGCCCAAAAGAGGCCCCAAGAGGCCCCAGAAGTTCAAAAATGCCTCCCAGGCGCCCCCGAACGGCTTCTCAAAAGACCCAAAGAAGCCTCCCAAAGAAGCATCTTGACGACGACCCTGTTTGGCCCCAAGAGCAACACAAGATGCCAACGAGAGGCTTCCTCCTCCGCCCCTTCCCCTTCCTCCTCCTCCTCCTCCTCCTCCTCATCCTCCTACTTATCTTCATCCTCCTCCTCTCCTTCTCATCCTCTCCTCCTCCTCCCCTCCCCTTCCCCATCCTCATCTTCCTCCTCCTCCTCCTCCTCCTCGGCGGTGCCACAATGGTGCCGGGCCCACGGCGAAGCAGTAGCGATCAAGCAACATGGGCCGGCGGAATGAGCGAAGCGATTGAATAAGAAAACTATCACGTAAGGATGCACGGGCCCTGGAAGGCCACTTCAATGCTCTCCGAACGTTGCGCGGCCAACGAGTGTGGGCAGGGATGGGCCGAGGCGGCAAGGATGCAAAGGTAGCCTTGGGAAGGTTGCCCATCCTTACCATGCGGGTCGACTGTCTCCTCGAGCCGGGATCGACCTAAAGGGTCTTTCTCGCGCTCGCTGTGGCTTCGCCTCCACTCGCTCCGCCTCCGGTCCGCCCGTGCCGCAAGACGAGGTCGCAGCGAAGACGGCCCACGAAATCGCCGAAACACTGTTCTGGTCGAGCCCCGACGTACCCAGGGCGTCCCTGGAACGGCCTGGAACGCACGCATGCGTGGACCCGGGGGAACTACTCTCGAGCGGGCGCGCGGGTACGGCTCAGCAACGAATCGCTCAGGGGTCGACCTGCAATAGAGTTTCTCGTTCTCGTCTTGTTTTTGTTCTCCCTCGTTTTGTCTCCAATGTGCCTCTGCCGCAAACGAGATCGAAACGCAGACGGCCCACGAGATCGCCAAAACAGAGTTTGGGTAGGCCCCCTGCTGGAACGGACGCTTGCGTCGGCCTGGGGGGCACTGTCGTCGAGCTGCCGCGCGGGAGCGGTTCGGCGACGAATCCGGCGGCGGAACCAGGTGATCCCCTAAGAAGCTGCTCTGCGGGAGCAAGATGTGGCAACTGCTAGAACCCGACAGCGAGACGCTACTAACGGAAGTAACCCATCAGGCACCATGCAGACCTGCAGTGGGGTCGTACGCCATACGCGGAGAGAAACGGGGAGGCATGGTGGCACGAGCACGCTGGAGCACTTGCCGAGTGAGCCAGCGCAAACAAGACTCTTGCCAAGCGGCAGTCTACATCAACGGACAGGAATAGAATACAGGGAAACGACAGCACCAGTGAAACGAAAGCGCGTCCCGCCTTCACACGCTTCGTGTCCCTTCGCTTCATTATGCGGATTCACGCGTGAACTGATACAAGCATGCCTGTGCACGAGGATTGCATGATCGTACAATATGATCACACCGAACGTAGCACCGCGAGCAATGTTCCTGTCTAGGAAACTGCGCCCTCTTGTCTCTGTTGCAAACATCCGCTGCCAACTCACTCTACGTAGTATATGCCCACGCGAACATCTGCCCCCTGGCGGCACCACCTATCGACGCGACTCCATGTACGGCCAACCCGTATCATCATGATGCGCGGTAAGGATGCGAAGGCCCTTTGAGTTCATGTTCGTTCGCGTCTTTCGAGCGAGGATGGCCAGCAAAAGCCGCCAAGGATGGGCTGAGGAGGCAAGGATGCAAGGGTACCCTCGGGAAGGTCGCCCAGCCTCACCATACGGCGACGCAATCTATACACATCCGCTGCTCCCTGGCCAGGCCCAGCCTGAACCCAGCAGCGGTGTATACGCCACGCCCTCCTGGCTTGGCCAGGAGGGCGTATACACAGCTCCTGGGCCCAAGAAAGGCCCGACCAAGGGGCAGTAGATATGAACACGTCGTTCATTTCTAACCGTGCTCACTTCTACTTGTGCTCGTTTCTAATCGTTCCTGGCCCACTAGTGGCCAGGAAGAGGCCCAGGCCAGAACAATTAGAACTGAGAGGATCTTTGCCCCCCAAAAATCAATGAACTCTCGAAGAAATTAAAATGCACAATGTGTATAGACTTCGTCGCCCGATCACCACGCGGGTTTGCTGCGTACCCCTCTAGCAGCCCTGCCTCCAGGGCCAGGTGCTTCTCTTCCCTCCCCGCGCCTCTGCCCCCTTCCTCGCCGCAGCAGGGGGGCGCCTCGGGCCGAGTCAGCTGAGATCGTCGTCGCCACCGCGCTCCTGGCAGGGGCCCGGGCAGAGAGAAGTCAGGGAGGTCGCAAGGCTGAACCTCAATGGTGTCTTACGTTTTCGTTTTGTGTTCGTCTTCCATCGTTTTGTCATCGATCCGCCTTTCACGCAAAACAGAATCAAAACGAAAACGGCCCACCAAATCGGCAAAACACCGTTTAGGTCCACACCAGGGAAGCCGGAATCTCGCCCTCTGGCGGCGCGCGCAGAAGGGGGGGGGGCAGTTTCCCCCGGGGCCGTAGGCGACCCGAGGAGGAGGAGGAGGAGGAGGAGGAGGAGGAGGAGGGGGAG